CCCTCCCCACCCCCAGGCTGTGCGTGCGGCCATGTGGCCCTGTGCTGGGTCCGAGCCCCCCTCCCCAGCCTCAGCTCCAGGGCTGGGTCTCTGGGGCTTGCCCCCCCTCAGTCTGCCTCTTAGCATTCAGGTACTTCCTGGCCTGCGAGTTGAGCTCACGCAGCCGCTTCCTGGCGGAGCATCCCCGGGGACGGCTCAACATCAATCGCTGCGACCGGCACAGGTGCCAATCCAATTCCGCGCAGGTCGTAAATAAACGCCTGGGGTTTTCTTCTTAATCCACTTCGCTCCATATTAGCATGACCTCGCCACTCGCAAGGTGAGCGCTGTCCCCTCCCGTGACGGGGACGCCGACTTGGCTGCGCACTCAATTTCAGAATCTAATTTGGTCTCCGGCTCGCGGGACGGAGGGAAAATGGAAAGGCCCCGCTCGCGGCCTGCGAGGCTGAAGGAGGAAATCTACGCGGTGACCTTTATGGAGGCAGGAGACGGGCAAGCGCGTTCTTAAACACAGGGCTCTCTCCTCCGAAGGCCTTCCGGGCGCGTTCACAGCCATGAGCCGCCCTGTGCCGCCCTGCGCCGTCCACACCGCAAGGTGCCATCGCTCAGGGCCTCGCTGGGCCACACCGGTTGCTCTCCGGGGGACAGGCCCCTGGGCTGCGACGCTGGAGGGAGGGGCCGAGTCAGGGGTCAGCCCAGCCATGCTGAGGACAACGTCTGGTCCTCGCTTTTTCACGTTGGCGAACCTGACAACTGCAGTAAGATTTGCGCACGACAACGACGTGGTGAGATCAGCGCGTCGGGCCCGTCCTTGTCCACGAGACGCCACACCAGCACAGCCAAGCAGCGCGGCCAGCTCCTGCCCGCCTCTCGTCAGCCCGGCCCACGCACTCTCCACGCTGACACGCACTGCCCCAAGCGGTCAGTGAGGGCCGTAAGGACAGAACCGGCCCAGCGATTGCCCGGAGGCCTGGGGTCGCAGCCCTGACCCAGCACAACCCCTGGGCCCAGCACTGGGTGCGCCTGGGCCACGCCCGGTTCTCAGAGAGACCGGCAGCTGACTGTCCCCTGGACACCCCCGCGCTCCAGCAACAGTGGGCCCGACAGAGAAACAACGTGCCGGGGTCCAGCCCCAGCAGGTCCAGGGGTCCCCAAAGGTGCGGACGGAGTCGGCGAAGAAGGAATGACACGGATA